GGCTGAATTGCACAAAACGCATGATCGCACCGGCTAGCCTGGTGCGCGTTGCCATTTATTATTTATCTGCCCTAATATCTCCCCCTCGTCCTTCCATTACAAAAATCACGGTACCCATTTTTCAAATTCAAAGTTTCGACCAATCTATATTTTAAGTCTCATATTGGCCTACGCTTCATCATTTACCCCCGTTATACATATAAAGCACTACTTCCACACATTATACATATAAACCAATTTCCGCTTCCACTACACTTGTTCGGCCTCTCACTGGCAGTTAACTAATTATTTTATAACGCTTTCCTTTCTTTTTTTTTTCAATTTTAGCTTAAAATTTAACTATACTTAAGAACAGTCTGGTGCATGCTGCAGCAAGGCGAAAAGATTCGGAGAACAATAAAAATTTGTGAAGGAGAATAAAGCAGCTACTGATACTATGTGTTTGTATCAAAAGAGTATGCGAACAAACCAATGATGTGATCGGCCTGCGTGACAGCAGCACGAGCGGCGTCCACACTAGTGCCCAGTGTGCAGAAGCCGAATGCATCGGGCGGAGAAACCTGAACAGCAGAAAAATTTAGCAAACTGCAAAATAAAAATTTGTGAACAGATTTGGCTGGAATATCTCACCGTTAACATTGCAACGTTGAGCTTAATTGCGCCAGTGCGAAAAAGCAGCGGAACTTCGTGCAGAAAAGTTGAATTGAAATCAGCGATGCCTAAAAATGTGCGGAAATTGTATTCAAAAGAAAAAAAAAAATTATCAGAAGTCCGCCAAAATTCTTCGTATAATTCACCCTCTATCAGCAGCAAAGGCTGTCCGAAGAAAACACAACTGTGTGATATATTATGTGCTTGCAGCAACCATCCTCAGGCAAAGCCGATGGCCACCTTTTCTGAGGGTTGCTAATGATGATTTCAAATTACGATCGAAACGAATAAACAAAGTGTAAGAAAGACTGTTCGTCCAGCTGGGGAGGTCGAACCGTCAACCTTCAACATTAGAATACCGCTGTTTACTACTACACCATGAATGCTAACCACTTAGAAAACCACGCGCGCCAGTTTTTTCCAACAAATAATAAATTCGAAGAGATTTCTCTACATTAGCTTCACATAGCGTGCAGAGAATTTCGTATCCACGAATGTTGAAAAAAGTCGGATTACGAATAATATCAAGCCGAATAGTATCATGTCCCCGCACTGTTCTACTCCCTTACTCACTAATTATGCGTTTTGTGCTGTGTAACAGCAGTTTTATGTGTGTGATTGCGGGTTGTATGTGTGTGTTTGCGTGTGTATGTGTTCAACATTTTGTCCCGCACTTTCAACTCGGGAACCACAAAAGCTAGGCGGCTGAAATTTTAGTATGGTGTTCCCCGCCAGCGGTTGACGCAGCAAATTTAAATTCAGCCTCTCCGTACCAGCGGGTAACACGTACGGCCCCGTGAAAGTTTTTCGGGTAAAATCAGTATCTCGGGAACTACGGAAGGTAAAAGGGTGAAATTTTGTGAGCATGTTCTCTCCCCCCCCCCCCCCCCCCCCCCCCCCCCC